CTCTAAGCAGATCTTTCTTTTTTTCCATGCTTACAACAAAAAAAAAAAAAAAAAAGCCAAAAAAAAAGCCAAAAAAAAAGCCAAAAAAAAAGCAAAAAAAAAGCCAAAAAAAAAGCAAAAAAAAAAGCACCACCCCCAAAAAAACCACCCAAAACTCAAACCCATAATCATTATCTTTACTGGCTGTTCGGATGGAGCCTCGTGGAAGCACTTTTATTAATGAACACCAAACGTATCTCTGCGAGCACAGACGCTACATTGATTTCTGCTCGCAAATCCTCAGCAAACTCAAACAAGTCCCCACGGATCCACATCCTGGGCAAACTCCAGCTCTCAGGACAAAAAAAGCATTGAAATGTGTAAATTCCTTTTTCACATCATCTGCATTCTTGGTCCAGATCCTACCTGGACCCTCAAATATGTAATGCTATATTTAACCCATTAATAGGAACCCTTATTTCACTCTGGTGGTTTGTATGACTGTGCATACACATAGGCATTTCTGGTTAGCAGCTGTGGAGAAATTTTTAAAGTCATGATACGTTTTATTATTTACATTTTTCTGGGGTACAGGAAAAACCCTGTATACAAAGAACAAAACTGAGAGGCTGCTGATCAGTTTAACGACCCAAACTTCAAAGCATTAGAACGTATTTATATATTGACTTTTCTTTCTGTTTACATAAGATTTGGGTTTAAAACATATTTGAAACATGATGGTGCACATGTGAATGGAACTTGCTCCAGAAGTGCAATTAGTACCTTTGAATTTACTTTGGAAGAAGTTTTGTACCGCCTCCAGCCCCGCAGCAGCCCATGTCAAGGAGAGCCTTGTGCGAGGTCCCCCTGTGAGATACACCCGTGCACAGAGGGATAATTCACATAATCAGAAAGAAAGTACAAGGTTTTACAGCAAAAAGACAGGACACGTTGCTGACCTCCAGGACGTGCTGTAAGAGCCATCTGCTTCTCTTGGCTTTCGAAAAGGGAGAGGGACCCGAATGGGTGGGCGGGCAGGGAGGGGGTACAACATATTCAGGTCTCACCAGGTGGATGCATTTGCGGACTACTGGAAAAAGTTTCCCATTCTTTATTGCTCCCGTCATCTAAATTCTGCTTTGTGAAATGTCCCATGCTCATAGTTGTCATTGAGCTTTGAAGATGATCTCCAGGTGAAGACCCTGGGAAAGTTTAGGGTTATTTTTCCAAGCTGCCTTCAAACACAAAGAGCTACACTTGACTTGCAAATGTTTAGGAAGCAACTGTAAAAACTATATTTAGAGTCATTCATATTAAAAAAAAATAAGGGCATTTTTATTATTTTTATTTTAAACCTTCAAATTCTCCCATAACTGACAAGGGTAACAAAGTCTCAACTCCAGCTCAGCCCCCCGCAGGGGAGACCATGTACACTGGTCTAGTTTTATGGACCACATTCAAAAGAAGTCCAACAGTGGAGAATACGGGATTGAATCCGTATAACTGAGGAACCATAAATCTTTAGCACCTTAGACTTTCCTGAGCAGAGGTGAGAGAAGGAGAAATTTCTCTCTGGCTGTCAGTGTAAATTTTTCATTAAAATGCTGTAAGGCTTTTTTAAGACCAAAAGTAAACTGCTTGTGCAGCACTTTCAGCAGAGCTGCACAAGAGAATCACGAAACCCCTCCACAGATTGTGGTCCTCCAACAAATACAAACTACGTTACAGCTTTCCTCATTGAAAATAGGATAAGAGCAAATACGCTGACAAGGAAAATACGAGTCTATACAACTTCACATCCAATTTATACAAAGTTCACATCCATTACAAGCTAGGAAGCATGTTCATATTCAAAAGGAATACGTTTTCCTGCGCCTCAGCAGAACATCCTAAGAGATAAATACGGGTTGGTCTCCTTCAGACTAGGATGTTTGCTCCACCTCTCCTTAGGGAATCACACCAGGATAAGCAGCGATTCCTAAAATATAACCTAGAAGAAGGTTTTTAAGTTGGACTGAGTCTGGATGTGGACTTGCCCCACATTATTTTTGAAGTAAAACTGTGAGTGCTCCCTAGAGGAGGGACCTCAGGAGGTCTCTAGTCCTACCTGCTGCTCAGAGCAGGGACAGCTGTGGGGTCAGAGCTGGTTGCTCAGGGCTTTTACCAAGTTGGGACTTGAAAACTCCCAAAGATGAAGACTGCACAACCTCTCCGGGCAACCTGCTACACTGCCGGCCTGCTCCAATGGTGAAGTGTTGCAGTAGGGTGCTGTTGGTTGCAGGAGGGTTATCAAATGCCTCCAGAAATAAAAGTTAGGAGCTGAACAGGGTTATGACAGTCAGATGGACCCATAGCCTGGTGTAGGAGGGAGGCAATAAGCAATTGCTGACAAGTGCTACTGCTCTTTTGTCGATTCCAGGTGTACAATGTTCACTACACTATGAGCATTAATGGAAAAGTACAAGATGGATCGATGGAAATAGATGCTGGAAACAACTTAGAGACATTCAAAACAGGAAGTGGGAGTGAAGAGGCTGTCGAAGTTCATGATTTTCAGATTGTAAGTACCACCACCCTTTCCCTTCACATGACATGCTTCAGCGCTGGACTGTAAGGATACCCTGTCCTCTCCCAAATTCTCTGCCCCAGTGGGTCTCAGGTTCCAGCCCACAACAGGCTGGAACCACAAGCATCCATGCTCTCCCAGCTCGCTTTCACAGCAAGTCAGGTAGTTTCTTCCAAAACAAAATCTAAGTGCCTTTTGGGGATAGGTTGTACCACATCCCACTCCAGAAAGCCGTATGGATTAGGCTGCATCAGGCTTGGCTCCACGTAACGCTTTGCAATTTCAAACCATTGAACACAGCTGCAACACGCGCCCTTGGGATCTTGCTGAAAAAAAAGTGTTCTGGGAGGCTGTGACACTGCCCCAACATGACTTCGTATGATTTGAATCAAAAAACCACCTCCACCTCCCCAAAACATCACCATTTTAGGAGCATAGGATCAACACGGTAAGCCAAGCAGATGCCAGGAGAGACACCTATAAAGCGCTGGCAGCGTGCTCTGCCCTGAGATCATGGACAGCTGCTGCTCTCCACAGCTCGGCCGGGGTTCACCCCCAGGGGAGAGGATGGGGGCATTTAGTGCAGCTCATGCGTCCCTGCACCAAATGCCCCAACTTGGGCTGGCAGGAAACACATTGGGGTATCGCGGGGGTTTGGCTGTGGCAGCTCAGCACAGAGACTGGAACAATGAATGCCGAATCTCAGCAGCGCTCAGCAGCTGGGATGGAGCCATTCACTGAGTGTACCACCTCTGAGCTACTAAAGGCACATCTATGTCATGTGGCAGAAACCTATCACGGGGCCCAGACCTCGCAATTAACATTCTCAGGTGTAAAACACTCAACTTCAGAGTTAAGTCCTCTGTAAATCAAAGCAGCACCTAAAATAAAGCTGCCGCTGGCAGGAAGACCTGCCCAGGGCTTCCGAAGCAGCCACTTTCCGTGTGCTCGATCTAGAAAGGCGAGGAAATTCAGCTCCTTGGCTTCTCAGCAAGTACAAACAAATCCACTCCAGGCGACCCGGGACCCCGGCTTTCCTGACAGCAGCAGCTCAGCCTTTATGAAACTCTCGTTAACATCACCATAGCAACATTATTAGCAGCTGAATAAGAGCACCCACAACCAGGTCTTCTCATTTGCCTTCACCATTCCACATCTGCACAAAAGCACCAGCACCACTGGGATTCACGTTGCCTCTGGTAAGCTACCGCCTGCCCTGTCGCAACCGGGTCAGAAATCAGCTCCCGACACCAACCAGCTAAAGGTACCTGCCAGGGACCGTGCCCACATGTCACTACAGTGGGGTGGGGACAGGCGCAGCCAGAGCAAAAGGATGCCGCCAGTGGGGTTTTGAGCCAAGAATGCACATAAAGGAGAAAGAAATTGAAGGGATGCGCTTCCAGCGGCCCAGCATTTACATCAGCAGCTTTGGATTGACTGGCACCGCTCCAACGATCGCATGGTCGGTGAAGACTTGGATTTGGCAATATTAGGATGCTCCTCGCACGCTCGGTGCACCATGAAGTCTCATTCCCTTGTGCGCTCACCCCTGCACAGCCATTCCCTCTCTTGCTGCTTTAGAATTAGTCGGTTTGGTTTTGTTTTGATGGTGTCTATTCAAGTGGACAGGACTTGCAGGCACACAGGATGAGACTCGGGTGCCTCAGTACTGTCCGTCTCAAGCCCCACTAGACACCTACAGTATCTATGATGCCCACACAAGGCAGATGAGGGGTTGTGATGACACCCGTGCCCCCCCGGCCCGGCAGCTGGAGGCTGGGCAGAAAAACAGCGTATCTCAAATGGCACTGGATGTTTATATTTAGGTGGTTGAATGGAGCTCATGCAACCCTATGAAAAACAGAATCACAGAATCTTCAGAGTTGGAAGGGGACCTCTAGAGATCATCTAGTCCAACTCCCCTGCTAAAGCAGGATTGCCTAGAGCACATTACTCAGGACTGCATCCAGGCAGGTTTGGAAAATCTCCAGAGAAGGGGACTCCACACCCTCCCTGGGCAGCCTGTGCCAGTGCTCTGTCACCCGAACCGTAAAGAAGTTTTTCCGTGTGTTGGAATGGAACTTCCTATGTTCCAACTTGTGCCCATTGCCCCTCGTCCTGTCACTGGGAACCACTGAAAAGAGTCTGGCTCCATCCTTCTTCAACCCACCCTTTAGATACTTGTATGCCATAATAAGGTCTCCCCTCAGCCTTCTCTTCTCCAGGCTAAAGAGTCCCAGCTCTCTCAGCCTTTACATGCAAATTTTGCCATCTACAGCTGAATTCATAACATAAAAGAGAGCTCTTTTACAGGTACCCAAAAACCTGCAGCAGAAACACAGAAACTACAGACAAGGTTCCCCTGCCCAAGGGTTGGTGCCCAAGGTGTCGGTATAGGGCTGGCAGATACAACCCCAGACCTGCAGGAGACCTGGGGCCCTCTGGAGCTGCTACGATACCTTTCTCTCGCTTCAAACTAGACATCCATGGTTTAGGCAACTACATTTCCCCCCCGTAGGCCAGACGAAGGAAGTCCCACACACAGATTTCTGCACCAAATTCCCCGTCACGAGCCTCCCCTTGCTGTCACGGCCTCTTACACGTGTATAAATTGGACCCAGCAGCCCCCATATTTTTGTGAGTCTGTGTCATAAGGGTACCGCACCGCCAGCTAACACAATTTCGAGGCTGCCTACGTGAGGTGCTAAGTTACGGTTCAAATCGTGTCAGCTAATTCCTTAACAGAGCTACTTCGAGTAGCCTACAGCTGGCGTGGAGGCACTTACATAAAACACCCCCAATCCTTGAGAAATCGAGTGAAAACTTCTAGACCCGTTTGACCAAAATCGTAAAGCTAAAACGATGAGGGAAAAGCGTTTCGTTGCATCTGGTTTTAAATAAAATTTAACCTTCATGCTAATTATTCAGTGGCAATTTTAGCAGAGCTTGAGTGCTTTCTTGGGGGCGGTGGGGAGCTGGAGGGCTGCGCACAACCCCCTGCCTTCTGCTTTTGCAGGGCATAACTGGAATCCGTTTTGCTGAAGGAGAAAAGTGTTACATCAAAGCTCAGCCAAAAGCTCACATCCCCGAAGTAGATGCTATGACTAAAGCGAGCCTCTCATCTGAGCTGGTAAGGGGTAATTTATTTATTTTTTTAAAAAAAACCCATCAAAATCTTTGTATGGAGGGGGACCTAAAGGGGTATTTGAATACAAATAAAAGTGACGTATGAAAACCAGTGAAGAAGGCATAGAATGGTTTGGGTTGGAAGGGACCTTTAAAGTCATCTAGTCCAACCCCCCTGCAATGAGCAGCCATCTGTGGAGAGCTGAGGGTTCACTCACTGATTGCAAGGGGTCCCCGAAAGGTAAGAAAAGCAAAATTGGTGTCAGAGATGTACTTATTACGCTGCATCCAGAGACACGGCAGGAGTCCACAGACTGGGGACTGGTGGAAGCCCCAGGCCAGTGTCTCACAGGTCCACAGGAGACCTCGATGACAAGCACATCTGCTTGAGATCAGGCTGTGTGCAAGGCTGGAAGAGAAAGCATGGAGGAGGCAGCTGCTTTGGTCAACGCAAAGAGGGATAGTGGTAGATCCCAGGAGATTCCTATCAACACTTTTGAGCAGAAGCATCCAAGATGCTTCTCACTCAAGAAGCAGCTGATGCTTCTCACTCAAGATGCTTCTCACTCCATCACTCAAGTCCTCTGAAATCGTCAATAAAGAGGAAATGCAGAAAAAATTATTGCAAAAATTCAGCTAATTCAGAAGAAATAATAGTTAAAAAATTTAAGAATTTGCCTTCTTAAACAGCATCAGACTTCCTTTTAGGACATAGTGTTAACTAAGTTTCATGGAATCTGCAGCGCAACCACCACGAAAGTTGTAGTTCTCACCCAGATACTGCAAAAACCTCTCCTTACCTCACAATTGTAAAAAAAAAAAAAAAAAAAAAATCTATTGCTTTAGGTGCGCAAAGCCTGAGGTTCCCAGAGCTCAGACCCCCAAACCCGTCACTCACACAGGAGTGGCTCCAGTGACTTGAGTATGGCCGAGCCTGGATGCTTTCAGGGGCTCAGCCACCAGCAGGAGAGCACAGGAGATCCACAACTGCTTTCCCTGGGTTTGCTCCAATCCAGAGAAAACAAACACAGATACAATTAGCTGGGAGAGAGGCACCGTTAAGGCTGCCCCTACCTGCAATGCTGCTGTGATTACTAAACATCTACTTTAAAATGAATAGAAAAAAGGTGTCTCTAACTCCAATCAGCAAAGCATCTGCAATGTTACAAAGGCCCCTGAAGTTGGTGGGATTTTCCCCATGATGGGGGAAGAGATCTTGCCCAAATTTCAGGCAGGGACCTAGATCTTTCCCACCTTACCTTATTTTAAAGGCAAGCTGGGCTTCTTGAATTCATTAGCACTATAGCCTAAAGCCAAGATTTCAATTTTTCATCTTTTCGTAAGAATAAAATCACAGTCCTGGAGACACTGTCCTAAAATAGTCAAAAAGTTATTTCTAGTCTTCTACCTGGCTACAGCAAACCTATTTCCTTGTCCTGTTTTCTCTACATCTTCTCCAAAGATGCACCACCTAAACAACTGCCGCAATAAATTGTATGCACTGAGGCCAAAACAAGCAGCCGACTTAGTGCTACCGTTGGGATATTAACCTTTCCCTGTTGCTCGACTTCCCAGGTTAGATGAACGATGGGAATGGCAAAATAGTATTTATTTTTCTAGAGCAAGTCCCCTCTCTGATACACATATATTTAGAAGAAAGTAAGCATATGCCGTTTTCTTACAACACATATCATAACCAACACTGCCTACAAAAACGGTTGATTAAAATAAGCTTTTATAGATACCCAAACTCCGCCTGCTCACAAGTCAGGATCATCTCAAACAGAAACAAAGGATATTTTTATTTCTGAAAACTAGATTCAGATATTTGTGATGCTGATAAAAGCTTAAGTGGGAGAATATAAATAAAAAGCACCTCTCACTAGACAGATTGGACAGCGAACTTAAATGACTTGAGACCTACAAAAGAAATCAATAAACACATTAAAGGAACAGCGACTCGACGGAATAAATTGATCTAGTCACTTATATAACAAGTTTTGATGACTTTTATGGAAGCAATTTAGAATTTTAACTTTGAAATCATACTGGTTTTCATGATTCACAAGTTGGTTTTCTTTTAATATTTCACTGTTGCTATAAAATACTTACACATTTTATGTAAAATAATACTTTGAACTAACAACTTTAAAGAATCAATCACTGGCATTTTCCTACATTACTTTGAAGATATGAACCAAAAACCTGCAGGGTACACTTCAAAAAGGCAGGCTCCTTTAACTCACACTTCAAGCTTTTGGTCAATTGAATTGCTTTCACCAAACGAGACCTTTAATCAGACCGATCACGTTGCCTTAAAACTGGAAGCTGGAGCAGTTCTCAAGCTATAATCTTCTCTAAAGCTTTTGAACAAGACTCCCCCCTATTGTAAATACAGTTATCTCTTGGGAATACATCAAATGAGAACGGGGCATGATAAAAGATTAGGGTCTTGTTTTACGCTGCCATATTTCATTGCTGCTCTGCTGAAGGTGGGTAGATCTTCAGAGTTTCTACCACCTGAAAATCTGGCACTTCGGGCAGAAAGATCTCTGACACGTAGTCCTTGTACCTGGGGCAAAAGCCTTCCGAGAGAGAGACGGGTGAAATCGCAGCCCCAGCAAAGCTGACAGTAGTTTTGCCGTTCGTTTCAGCCGTGGCAACCTTTACTCAGGCTTTGGTTCAGTACAATCGGTTCATACTCACGAAAAACAAGGATGCTCAGTATTAGCTGCAGCAGATGATGATACAGTTCGATGCTCAAGAATTAACAGCAAGCAGGCACGTGACTGTTCACTGAGCTAGCAAAGGATTTATGCTCTTCTATTTGCAGGAAGATGAAATCATGCCTGTGAGATTTGACGAAAACTCCCTTATCTGGGTGGCTGCAGATGAGCCTATCAAGCATAACAGTTTCCTAAGCCCCAAAATTTTAGAGCTTTGCGGGGATCTTCCAATTTTCTGGCTGCGACCAACATATCCCAAAGGTAACACTTCTTTTATTTTAAAAGTATGTTATCCCTCCCTTCATCTAAATGCCTTCCCCGAATCAGGTTTGCCACCAAGACTTGGACATCTGGGAAACCAGGATCATTTCCTCCCTTGTCCAGCCCATCTTCCCAAGCCCTTGTGGGCTGGTGCCAAGATCGCGGGTTTGGAGTTTATCCACACCTACTAGACATTTCATCATAGAATCATAGAATGGTTTAGGTTGGAAAGGACCTTGAAGATCATCAAGTTCCAATCCCCCTGCCATGGGCAGGGACACCTCCCACTAGACCAGGTTGCCCAAGGCCACGTCCAGCCTGGCCTTGAACACCTCCAGGGATGGGGCCTCAACAACCTCTCTGGGCAACCTGTTCCAGTGCCTCACCACCCTCAAAGTGAAAAACTTCTTCCTAATGTTTAATATAAACCTGCCCTCTTCCAGTTTGAAGCCATTCCCCCTTGTCCTGTCACTACATGCCCTAGTAAAAAGTCCTTCCCCAGCTCTCCTGTAGGCCCCCTTTAGGTACTGGAAGGCTGCTACAAGGTCTCCCTGGAGCCTTCTCTTCTCCAGGCTGAACAGCCCCAGCTCTCTCAGCCTCTCCTCATAGGAGAGGTGCTCCAGCCCTCGGATCATCCTTGTGGCTCTCCTCTGGACACACTCCAGCAGGTCCTTGTCCTTCTTATTTTGGGGGTTCCAGAGCTGGATGCAGTACTCCAGGTGGGGTCTCACGAGAGTGGAGTATTTGTATTTCCTGAGACAATTTATATAGCTCACGTGGGTAACTTACTATGAGATGAAACATTCCCAGGGAAGTCAGCCTCCTTCTACAGAAGGACAAGACAACGGCTTAAACTAGCCCCCAAAATGTTTAGGCAGCTGACACCAGGTAGCAGGAACACTATACCTGGCCAAGAGTTGGGGAATATCAAGCTCCTGATCTGGGACCATAGCCTGTCCTGTTTTCTACCCCACTTCTCCACAGGATTTCAGTGGAGTGGAATGATGAGATGCTTTAGCTAGGCAACTGGTCGATAAAATTTGAGGTCCTGGGGGCAGCCCCAGGACTGAAGTGCTCCCACCACCCACAGCCAAGCTTAGCAAAAGGTGTTCAGGACTCACCAGGGAGATGGCAACTTCTCTAGGTAACTTCCAGGCCTGGGAGGAGAGGAGAAGCCTTGAAAAGATTTAACTCCTCCTTGGTCCAGTTAATATAGGAACACTCAAACAGGGTAGGCGGGGGAAAAAAAAAAAAAAAAAAAAGAAGAAAAAACCCCCACCACATTTTAGAGCACCTATGGATCCAAACTGCCAGTATTTTACACTTTTCTCATGATCTGGCATATCCCACTGGGAAACAAAGAGCAGTCTCAAAGCTGTCCAGAAGCTGTTCCCACTAGTTTCACCAGCTGCCCTTGGGAGCAGTGCACCGGTCTGTCACAAAGGCACTTTAAAAAATGAGATGTGTATGACTGGTCTTGCTAGTGCTGGCAACTGCTGCTGAGTTAACATCAGTGACCAGAGGGTGGGTGAAAAAAAAAAAAAAAAAAAAAAAGACCAAAACCCAACCAAATTTCCTCACACCTGTTTTGCCCAAGGGGAAAAAAAGGCAATCTCACACCCCTTTGGACTGACATCGGCTATAGACACAACACAGGAAGCCAAGCAGCTCCCATGGGGATGCTCATCAAGTTTGCCACCACACAGTTTTGTCTTTCCCTCTGCCCCTCCTCCCCTTTCTAAAAAGATTTACAGAAATCACTGAAACCTTAGGAAGTGTGTGGATAAATACAAGGACATGCTGAAGATAAGATTATCCCCCTGTGATTATTTCTTCAGATAACCAAAGGAGAGCAATGAAGAGAAACAAACGTCAATCAGAATCAAACTTTGATACGGAAGACTTGGAAGCTGCTACTGAAGAAGTAAACACCAGATCGCCCATCACGCAGCTGACTCGAGAGCTTGATCACCAATCTAATGAAACCAGGCCAATGGGACAAGAAACCGATCAAACACTTAATCCAGACAACCCATATAATGTAAGTATTTTCACTGTAATCTTCTTTCAGAGCCCAAGACTGTTGTAGACAGGTAAATACTGGTGATGTGGGTTTTGTCTTTCTTTAATCTGCACAGTTTCTGGTTGTTCAGCTTTTCTCTGAAAGCAGAGACTTGTAAAACACCTTCTAAAACGTTCCAAAAAGTCTTCCCCCAGTCCCCTTCTCTCTCCCTCAACCCAGTTTTCATTAGACTTCAGTCTGAAACAAGGACAAGTGCTTGAGGTGGCGAGATTACAGCGACTGACGCCAAGTGGCTTTTCAGGGTTCAGGTCCATGCGGACGCAGCACTAGAGAGATCCATCAAGGATAGCATCATCAGAAAACAAACCAAAGCTGCTGTTGATCAGGCAGCTGATCCACATCATGTACTGACAATGTACAGAAAGAGTCCAGTAGCTAGAAACATACTTTGCCCTCAAATAGAAATTAGTATCAGAAGTGATTATTACAGAGGAAAGCAGTAGCAATGTCTGGTTGCAAAGAGATTAGGGTTAGGACAAATAAACCTGTTTTCTCAACCTCTTCTCTATCAGAGTAAATGGCCCTAGTCTAGCAAGCGATTCACAGAGGAAAACCTGTTTAGAGACAGCAACAGTGGGCGGAGGATGAGAATCATGAAATTTGCTCTCGCTCAAGACGAAGCAGCCCACAGAAAGAGCACAGGAGCCGCCACGCTGAGTCCCAACACCTTTGCCACGCTGCAGGAAAACCGACTGTACAGTAGGCACCTTCCAGTCTACTGCACCAGCGCCAGACAATTTACACCCACCATTTGGTGCAGCAGGAGTAAGTCATTTTAATATAACACTGTCACAAGATAAATGCCTCCTGCTTTGGAAGTAAGTCCCAGCTCTGACTTGACATTTATGCAACAGCAGGAGATCATTATACTGTGACAGCGTTCTGCCGAGTTGACATCCCTTAATTAAACTTAAATTAATCACTCCAAATAAAGTGGATCTAAATCGACTCTCTCACGAGGTCAGTAAAACAGCAGTGGCACTGGAATGTAAGTTCTCCTCACAGCTACTAACGTGACCATGTCCGTGGGGTCCAAGCTGCCCTGTCTCTGGAGGGTAGTGCCAGAGCAACTGCTGCGGGTCCCTTCTTCCAGCCAGAGGGACCCTGGGCCAAATGGAGAATGTCTCATCAGATATGGTCACTGGACTTCCCTCAGCCTGCAGGGCGTGATTCACCTTCACTAACAGTTATTGCATAGATGCCCATAACTAAACTTTCTTTAGAGGCAGATTCGTTCAATTCAAAAGGACCACTAATTACACTGTAGGGGTCTCCTGTAGATGAAATGAATCCTCCCTAGAACTACTTCTCCTCACCCACTTTGAACGGAGTCTGGACGATGAGCTCAGGTGTAGGTCACACCGCAGATATCTGAATTCAAGGATGATTAATCCTGCCTAAGGAAGGGACACTCTCCCTGCTCTCAGGGCTGGGGGATTGAAGGACACTGAGCTGTCACTCGCGTCTTGTACAAGTCCAGACAAGAGACAGCACCTTTCTGTGCCTCACTTTTTCGGTGTGCTGCTAGTTTTCTGAATGAAAAATGCTCAGGTAAAAAGCTAAGTGTTACTCCAGCATTTGCTCTTTGCTGCTGGTTTTCTTGAAATAATACCAATGGGAAAAGAATAAAATGAGTTTCAAAAAGCAGAACATCCAGGTTACTTTTTCTCCCAGAAAGGAGGGAAGGAATTTTGAAGGGTGAAGGCAGTAGCAAGAGCCTGCTTTTACATATTTTATGCATGCCTTGCTCCATGTAACTCCTTACTGTCAGATACAGAACAGGCAGAATTCTCACTGTCCACAATGCACCTAAGTGTGGCAGAGGGGAAAAAAAAAAAAAAAAAAAAGAGACTGAAAGACAGGGGAGAAATATTCAGAAAACTTCAGGGTAATATCTTACTAAATAGTTTCCTAGGAATGCTGTAAAAAGCATTAAAATACAAAAATTAAAACAAACCATTAAAAACACAGCATACACTTCAGACATTGTCATCTACATAAAAGACCCAGATAACTGTCTCGAAATCTTTTCCATCACTAGTATTTAAAACTTTGGGAGTTTACTGCTGCTGGATTTTGCAAAGACTGTAGAAAAAAAAAATGAAGTTAGAGCTCCCTGTTGTTTCTTTCCATTTTACATGGGTGACTGCACCAATTCTACACTTCTACCAAACAGAGCAAGACAAAAGAACAACAAAAAAAAATAAAGCAAGATGCACAGGTCAGTTAGTAGGAGTTCTGTTAACTTCAACAGGACCAAGATTTCAGTTTTTACCCTTTTTAGGGTTAACAGGAACATCAGTATATTCTATATTCTCTGAGAATAAGAGCACCAGGATGACATTTAATATTTTACATTTCAGCAACTGGAAGGTGAAGGGATGGCTTTTGACCCCATGCTGGATCACCTAGGCGTGTGCTGCATTGAATGCAGACGAAGTTACACGCAGTGCCAGAGAATCTGCGAGCCTCTCATGGGCTACTACCCATGGCCTTACAACTACCAGGGCTGCCGTACCGCCTGCCGAATCATCATGCCCTGTAGCTGGTGGGTCGCTCGCATCATGGGTGTTGTGTGAGAAAAAGCATCCTCCAGACCCTTGACAAAATAAGCAGGAATACAACGACGACAAACTGGTAAAAGACTACAACCAAAGCAGCAGTACCAATCCTGGCTTTTAAAAATCAAAGTGTGTGTTACTGCACCAAAAGCAAAGTCAGATATTCTAACTGTAAATAAAAAATTTAAGTTAACATTCCATTAGCTTTACAAATGACAAGGGTATACTAGCACTTACTGAATTCAAAAACTAAGACATTCCCCCCCAAAAAAGAGACAATATTAAACGTTGCTCACAAACTGGTTTAGCAGTCCAGACACTTGCTTATAAATCCAAATTCAGCCTTTCATAACAAAACCCTCTCTTTCTGAGCTAGATGTGAAAATTTATGTCCAATTAGGCAACTAGCTCAACTTGTACACTTGGGAGTACCTTTCATCCATGTAGCTTACTTAAATAAATCACAAGTTAAGTTGCTCCCCGTTGCTATTCATACCGAGTTGCCAGGTCATTATGAATGGTTATAAACCAATTACAGCATACCTTTCCCACAAAGCTGCTCCAGGGGACACGGGAAAGCACATATTGTGCTCAATCGGAAACAAACGGCAGGAAAAGGGGCTGCGGAAGGGAATGTGCGTGGCCGCAAAATCAAAACCCTTCGCACATCCCAACATCAAAGAAACCCCAGCATCAAGAATCTTGTATCCATGATACCACTGTAGTGTCTAACAAGTATCTGCTATCCAGCTACTACGGCAAAAGTATTTACATGCAGTTGAAGACCAAAGAGTCTCAAGACCCTTCAGAATCTACAACAGCCACTGTATTTATAAATCCTTGAACTAGACACTTTTGACACAAGATTACAACCCCTCTTTATTCCACATGGATAGCAGCCATTCACGCTAGCTCCTTTAGCTTCGCTGAAGCTAACCTCCGTTCCCTGTAAGAGAAATTGCTTACCAGTAATGAGAAAAGAAAGAAATTAAAAAAACCCCAAACCTGTTTCTAACCTCACGCTTTTTGCTTAGGCAAACTCTGCAATTATTGGGATTGATCCTATTACATATTAAATCTCTAAGGAAGGTACTAAGCTGAAATACTCACCAAGATGGAATGACTTAGGATTTCTAGCCTTCAAAAACAAAGGCAGAGGTATTACACTGCCTTCATATATACTATACACCTTGAACCCTACCACTGAGTTTATGGAGCCATCTACATGGGCTTTATACACAGAATGGTCCAATTTTTCTTAAAGTTCAGTTTCTGGAGCATTCATTTTTGTGACTAAACAGCTCTTGAGATGTTGCAAGCCTAGTAATGTTATTAACACTGCGTGACACACAGAAAAGAGGAATTAATTTGACGTAATCGTGGCTTAAAGAAAATAAAGACAACCTCATGTGGAATGCTAAACTGCATATCTAAAAAGCAGAGTGTTAAATGAGAATAAGATGAGAATAGAATTCAGTATTTTGCTCTATTGTAGTTTTTTTTAATATAAGCTTCACCTTCCCTTAATCTGAAGAACAGACTCGCTTTGAAATATTTAAATTAAAAACTTCTTAAAGTGGGATTTCAAGGCCTGTTAAATTTGAGTTTCTGCTTTTAAAAATGAAAATGACCTTGATCATTACGTTGTTTTAGAAGTACATCATTCATATGCTTAGAAGAGTTGGTTTTCCTTTTGTTTTGGTTTTTTTTTTGTTTTTTTTTTACTGCAGATTAAACAAATACATTAAAAAATGGCAATTGCCTTCTGTGCTTTTTTCAATGTAGAAAATGTAACAGTACCCTTACGTACACATTCAAAAACAGTCTGGAGAGGAAAACAAGAGGATCAGCAAGTGAAACACTGAAGGCAAAGAGAAGAAAGTATGAATGTATATACAGACTTGACTGTTGCTGTCTTTTGCATCTAAGGCCATCTTGAGGCAACCCATGACCTCCTTTTCCCCGTGCTCCCCCAGTAAAAAAAGAAAAAGAAAAAAATTAAAAATAGTTGCCTTCTTCAGGAGACACTAAAACATGATCTTGTAGGTGATTTCCACATCTACACACTCGTAACAAAATTAACTCTTAACCAAAAGCTTGTATCAGTTGTTTTCTATAAGCAGTCACAAAGCATGTAAGAAGTAAAAAAAGCACCCTACTCATGGATGCATTAAACTGTCACATACAGCACATATGTCCTGAGAACTCCTCTGTACGCACCATGCCAAGAAAGCCCCAGTAATCCCAGGAGAAGCAGATCCACTACTTACATGGTCTGTGACTCGTAAAATTGCTGGAACTACAATACTACCAAACTACAACACAGAGGGCACAATTTATCAATTTCCAGAAGAAATGCAACAAAATACGTTCCTCAACCCATGCTTCAAGTAAGCAAATTTTTATTTACCTATATATTGCATTCAAAGAAAAAAAAAAGTAAAGATCTCTTGCTGTGGCAAGGCTGAAAAATCATATTTAAACGCAACATCCAATTTTGAAGGAAACGTTCTGAGGCAACGTAGGAATGACAATAAAACCAATGATCCAGCAGTATGAAAAGATGTAGCAATATTCCCCGCAGTGGTGGCTCAGACTACGGTTCTAACTATTCGCAGCAATCCTATTCACCACTGTACAGCATTTATTACCAGCGTTAAACACAAGGTTTCCACTGCCACTGCAAATATAATGCCTTGCACACTAAAGAGGCCACAACGTGTCTGCATTTGGGCAGGTGGGGAGGGGGAATGTTCCTGGAACCTGACCCCACACTAGCAGAAACCAGTTCAAAACCTTCCGTTGACCAAAGCTTAGGGTAGGAGGAAAGGGAGAGGGATGAGCTTTGTCACCAACAGTGCTTCCCACCACAGGTGGGTGGATGTTAGTCAGAGCACTATAATTCTACTATCCTCTAACTTAATTACGCATGTGATTGTGTACTAGGAGGATTAGGATGGAAAAGCAGATTACAGCAGAAAAAAAGGATAAATTCAGGCTGGTGGAAAAGAGAAGGAAAACACAGAGCCATAAGGTTAAAAAGACTGAAAGCCAGTGACGGGAAGGCAGGAGTCTTCTCTTTTCTGCATCTACAGTTCCCTTTTTCCCCACCTACAAGGAAAGAACCTGAGCCTCTCCCTTTGTCCTTTTTGATACAGGAATCATCCTCCACTTGTATCTACACTGAGAAAGTAAGATGAAGCTGGCGAGCATGTAAGGGGGGGAATCTGTCTTCTGCTTCCCATGTAACATTTCACCCCTGCTGCAGCACAAATAAATTCCAAGAAAGTTTCAGTGAAGAACAGACTGATCACTTGTTCCATGCAGTACAAAAAAAAAAAAAAGCCCCCAAAAGATGTAGAGAAGCATAAAACTACAGTTGGCAAAGATTGTTGATTGGCACATCGGGGTGGACAAAATCTCTGCTCAGAAAGGGCAAGGGTTAGACTGAAACTGCAGCACCACCATCTTCTGCTTCTGAGAGGCTCAACCGATCTTTTACAAACACTGCACACATACCAAAGGTGAGAGAGGCAGCCTTAAGCTACAACAGAGAGGCATTTTCTATGACCCCTCAAAACCGTAGCAGATAGTAATCCCATCTGTGGTATTAAATGGGAAAGCTACTATTACCTCCTGCTGTCCTGTTCCCATATTAGCAACAAGACTACAAACCAGAGCACTGAGGTGAAACTGCCTGGGTCTTCTAGACAGTCATCTACAGATGACCAGAAGGCTTGGAAAAACAAACAAGAAAAAAACCTCAAGAGAAGTTTGAACACAATTAAAACATGATCCACTCCGTCCTTGCAGGCAGTTCTCTGCATCCAGCCAACTCATTGCAAAAAATTCCACTCGCCCTCACTAGTCCTGAAGGAAATTCCCTTTGTTACTGGTACCTTTCACAGCCCCTATTCAACCTCCAAGCTCCCTGCCAGCTTTCTCTCGACCTAGGGCTTCTGGAACCATTCTGCGCGTGTGTTTTGCCAAGAACAAAACATATACTGTTCACAAAGTTCATGAAGCACCTTCACACCAACTTTATAAGGAAATTCTGCCTACTGCTTTAATCCAATCCCCTCCCACCAGAAAAATCCAAACAAGAACCCTCCGTAAGGTAACAAGAGCTGCCATTATTGATTCATCTACATTGGTTCCACCTAAAATAGGGGAACACCCACAGATTATCCCTCTGTGCTCAGAAACGTGCTGGAATTACGTTTAGACTTGCAAACTTGGTTTACAGGATTGAGATGGACAAGGAGGTCTCCCACTCGATTGCTACAAGTTTAAGCCCAAAGCTAAAGCATTATATTTGCATTACATATGCCTCGAGAGTACGTAAGTAGCAATGCATTTTATTTCACTTTTTGCCTTAAGCTAAGTGAATTGAATCCCAAAGCAGTGAACCAGTACCCATTTAATACAAGACTATATTGTGCTTACCTGATGAAATATTCCCATGGTCTTTCTGTAAGTGGAAGTAGACAGAGGAACCCTTACTGTGTTCTCTTCAGTAAGAACAACTTGACTGGCAGAAAACATCCTCAAATTACTTTTTCATTTCTATTTAAGAGATTTTTATCTGGGCTTTTCCCATAGCAAGTCTTTGCTAAGCCCTGTTAAGTGCTCTGAATGACATTTATAAAGCAAGGCTGGCCAGGAGACAAGAACCCAATTTTGTGACAAAGCGAAGCACTCAGACATTTGTCTTCCTTCTACATTAGAAAGGAAGAAATGCCTTTCAGAGCATAAATAAAAAGCAGCAAAGCACTTATCCAGGAGAATTGAGTTCAAGTCCCTGTTCCAAATCAAGTCAACTTCAATGTTAGCATCCCATATGGATGGCAAATGCTCTAGATATTGAGCAACCAGCTACTCAGAATTCTCTGAAGGGCAAGAAATTCCCCACTGAAACTAACAAATCTTCACTGAAATATGCCACAAGTATACCCTTTGAGAAACTCCTCCAAGAAGCAGACATTGCTCAGTAAGCGTCAAGAGGTAAGACACATACAAAAATCTTCC